CCCCCCTCCCCCCACCTTATATTTACTATATCCGAATTACAATTTAACACCACTAGATGAGAAGTGTTTCTTTCGAATTATACAATCCGATATTCTAACTCTTAGTATATATTTCTTTTTGACACCCTTATTACACACGTTCGATCATTTGTGTTCTGGATTAATTTTCATTATTTTTACAAGTATACAAATTATTAAATGATTTTTATATTTTGATGATATCTTTAGAAAATATTTGTACAGTTGTATATATTCATAACAAATTGTAGATAAATTGTTATAATTAAATATAGTTAAACAAAATGAGAAAAATGCACTGTTTCGTACAAAAATGTAAAACTCTGAATCAAAAATGTTTAAAGGAAAAATATGGTTCAATTTTAAAATTGACATTCTAATAACATTCTAAATAATAAAAAAAAAATAAATGTTGACTGTCCAAAAAATTTAGCTACTGAATGTAACCTAATGTGTAAAATAATGTTTTTTTAACCTTTAATATACACCTCTGGGTCATTCATACCCTGCGCATTTCTTTTTTAAGAGCACTCGAATACCAGTCTCTTTTCTATTCCTAAAGAAAGTTTGGTATCTAGAGAACAAGTTTTGTGCGTTATCAGCCTCAATTCATACGTATCCTTTAACTGACATAACTATGAAGTTCACCTTTGGATCACAAATGACCTAGGTACAGAATGTACAGAATGTATATTTTCTGCAACTAAAACATTTTTTATTTTTTCAATAATAGTTAAAAAGCCGCTGTGAGCCGAACGCTAGTTTTTAGTTGCGCACAATAATTTTATTATTTTCCAATTCATACATATAATAAAATAAATAAAACATTACGTTTTGACCTGCGTTTTGGGTTCTCTTCAATATTAATTCTACTGAAGAGACCCAAAACGCGGGTCGAAACGTAATATTTTATTTGTTTTATCATATGTGTGAATTGGAAAATAAAATTATTGTGCGTAACTAAAAACTAGCGTTCGGCTCATAGAAGCTTTTTAACTATTACATCATTATACTTAGCCTATACTTTTTTGATTTTTTTTCTTTCTTTATTTTCAACTAATTCTTGATTGTATTGCGAGAATATTTCGCAAATTATTAAAAAAAGAATTTAACTCTAAAACAACATATTAGTCTTAATAAATGAGATTTTTGATACCTTTGTTCTAAATGTTATCAGTAATATCATATATATTATGTCTGTAATGTTATAAAGAACATTTTCCTAATAAATTATAAGTTTTTTTAATACAATAGCAATAATAAAATGCATTATTTAAAATGTAAGTGCAATATATCTCCAATGTATAGCCATTCATACATATTAAAAAAACATCATTTTCAAGTTATTCAATAATTACATTTTTTGGACAGCCGACATTTGAACTATTTTTTTTCTTGTAGTTTGAAATGTTAAGATACTGAATATTAAGAATGTCAATTTTAAGATACTGAACTGTATTTTTCTTTTAAACATTTTTGTTTCAGAGTTTTATTGGTATCCAATAAGTTTCTATCATTTTCTAAGATGTTACTAGTACTGTGTAATTTAAGATTGTAACATATCTAAGTATTAGGTACTTAATTAAGCTTTAAGATTTATATGACATTAGAGTGCAGTGTAAACAATTCTTATTGCATTGAAAATATCAAATTTTGTGCCAACAGAATGACATTTGCAGCAAATTTTAAAGAAAACTGCTGCTGAAAATCACCGTTTGCTTGTAGAAGCTTATGGTGACTATTAGCAGCAATTTTCTTTAAAATAAAATAATGCAGCAAAACTTGCCGCAAATGCTGTTTTGTTGGCACAAAATTTGACATTGGTATTGTGTTAAAAAAATTTATAATCTATTAGGCAAATGTTCTTTATAACTATTACAAACACACAACATAATATATAATATTACTGACAACATTTAGAACAAGGATACCAAAAATCGTGTTTATTAAGTGCAAATATGTCGATCTAGGATTAAGTTTTTTTTTTAAATAATTTGCGAAATAGTTCCGCAATACAAATGAGAATTAATTGAAAATAAAGAAAAAAATAAAAATTTTTTGTTACAAAAATGTACACTCTATACACATGTTGAGACCCAGAAAAGAACTTTAGAGTTATGCCAGTTAAAAGATATGCACGAATTGAGGCCGACAACGCACAAAATTTGTTTTCTAGATGCGAAACTTTTTTAAAAATAGAAAAAAGACCGGTATTTGATCAGGTGGACTTAGTATTTCAAAGAAAAAAAAAATGCGCAGGACACGAATAACCCAAAGATGTGTATTAAAGTTTAAGTCTATGATATATCTAATTATATATAATACCTCTGGCCATTTCATAAAATGGAACCCGGATAATTTGCAAATAGCTGAGTCAACGTTTCTGGGGTAAAACGCGTTTTAAGCGGACTATTGCGTTGAGTGCGGCGCAGTTTAGCTAAATTCACTTTACAATGTCTCATGATTATGAGTTTAATAATGTATTTTGAAAATGAATTAAATTCTGAAGATTTCAAATTCTGAGCAAAAAATAATGTAATTATAAATGATCAAAATTAATGATATTCCAAACAGTTTACTTATTAAGATCAATAACTCTTATGTTATATATGTTCTATTATTTATAACTTTTAAAAATTTTCACAATTTAGAGACATTGATTTCTCTGTTCAGCTGTTTTTCTCTTTTTCACATATAAATAGATATCACATATGTTATAACTATAATATAATGGTTATAAGTCAGTCAACATTAACAAGTTAATTATTAAAACATTTGTAAAGAGCAAATTCCAATTTTCAATAAAAAAATTAATGATTTATCATTCATTTAATGTAAAGGTAATCATTATTTTAATTTAACATTATTGTAAAGATGTAGAAAAAGAATTATCAATTATCTATAATACTTGCACGATATTAAGTTTGTAAAATAAAATAGAAAGCCGCACAATAAACTAACTTGCTCATATACAAAGTTTTGAAATACAAAGACACAATGTTTGATGTGTACTCACCTATACGTTGAGATATTCTGAATAGGCTGTTGATACGATTCTCTTGACGCATAACAACACTATACTTGCACACACACCGTTATCTGTAATTAATTTTTACGATATAATTTAGATATTAATTTTTATTGAATATGTATATAAATTTATATATTAATTGACACGGAAATATTTAAACATTAAAATTCATTCTTTAAGATCGAAAGTAGAATTTTAAATAATTAAATTAATATTTTTACTCAGTTATTTTAGTCTTTCAATTTTTATATATAAATACTATTACATTATATAGCGATTAGATAACAAGTCTGTTATTAAAATTTCGTTTTTATGAGCAAAATATCGAATTCCTTTTTTTAAATAAAAGATTAAATAATCCTTTATTCACTCTACACAAAAAGCATCATTTAATTTAACGTTTTCGTGTATGGAAAGTTATTAAATTTATCACGTTAACGCAATTAGAATGATATAAAAAGTTAAGTACCTATTATTTTCAATAATATAATTTATTTATTTGATATATTGCTTATTTAAACGAAATATTTGAAATTATAAAATAAATAACTCGCGCCATTAAAACTAAACTGCTGATTTCTAGAAAAATCGATTCAACAAATTACTTCAATAATTCCGCGACGAAATACTAATTGGATTTTAGTTTATTATACATAATATAAAAAAATCAAATTATCAATATGCTAATATACGGGGCTCGATTGTATTTAAAAAATAAAGATATTTAAAATATATATTTTTTTAAAATATATATATTTTTAATAAAAAGATAAAAGAATTATTTAGAATCTATTATTTTGAATAATTTCTGATCTATTTCTTATTACACACCTTAGTTTGGAACAACCTTTACATAATTCGCGTCCGTAGATATCTAATTTTTGTAAAATAATGCGCCACTCGAAGCGACTCGTACCACTGCCGTCCCCTTCCAAACTCGCGAAACAAATGCCGAAGTGATGACGTAGCGCGCTCCCCCTTCAGTTTTCAGTTTGCGCTCCCCCTCGCTCCCCCGGGCGCCGCGTCACGCCGCAGGGTACCCAACTGTCGCGTATGAAAAATATTCACAGTTTATTCAATTATTATTTTATATAATTTTGACAAACGGGTATCGTCGTATATTTCGCGTTTTGCTTTCTGCCATCTCTGGCGCTTGTTCAATCTTATATTACTCGCGCGATTCTTTTAAAAGTAATGAGTAATTATTCGCGTGAAGTATTTTTAGTAATTATTCCCGTGAGAATATTCCAAAATTATGTCTCAATTTTCACTATTCCGTTTAATGATTCTCTCATACTTAAATAAAGATTAATAATATTCTATATATTCTTTATATAAAGATACATATACATTTTTTTTTAATTAATATATTATTTCTAACGTGATTTTAAATCATAAATTTCTTTTTTCTTAAAGCATCAGTTTCTGATTTCCAAAAACTATGAACGATATCTTTAGTTTATTTAGTAATCAATTACATATCAATTTTAAAAAAAATTAATATATTGTATTTAAATCAAATGGTATAATATTTTATGCCAACTTATCTTTGCTATCTGAATTATAATTTAATATCACTTATTAGATGAGCACTATTGTTCTCTCTTTCGAATTATAGAATCCGGTATTTTAATTTTATCATTTTAAATTCTAATATTATCTTATACGACGGTGATGAGCTCGAAGTGAAATGGAGACAATAGATCAGAATAATCAGAACGGTATACCTTCGTACCTGTTTGACTTACTTCGTAACTGATACGACGACTTATTTTGAATTGATTATTTGCACGACGCTTGACCCTCGGCGTACAACGTACAACGCACAACGCTCGCCTGTTTTTGCATAAACAACACGTCACGGCGTGACGTCACAGCGTGCCGTGCCGAGCTGCGTACTTACCAAGGTTACCAAGGTTACCGCGCTATTATTCGCACGGCAAGACTCGAGAAGGTTGGTACGTAGTTCGTTGCTCCGCGACGTAAATTTCCGTAATCGTAACAACGCAATCTCTCTCCATAATTATCGTTCACGCAATTAATCGGCTATAATTACCTGATTATTCGCGAGTGTATCGAGATGAACAGTTCACACTTTCTATTCGACACGTATCTTAAACTTGCGCATACGATGCACGTTTTCTTAAGTCGGATCTACACAGGAATGCAAGATAGATGTACAATTTCCGACTGCAGAATGCGGAAATTTAAATTCATCTCACTTCAATATGTCCAACTTCATGTTGTATCCTGTAGTCTATACGACCTGAAGTACGACACGTTGCGTTTAATTTTGCGACTCGCGTAGATACGGCTTTCTGCGTAAATCCGGCTTTATTGGATTACTTGTTTTCTAGAATTGCACAAACCAGAATATAGCCTAGTTTTTAGTAATTTACTAAAATTCAAGCAATTATCAAACAGAAAACGTGCATCGCTTATATCATGTTTAGCCTTACGTGAGTGAATTTGGGGGGGGGGGGGGAATCGAAGCGGCGCAGTATGGAATTTTCCAACGGACGGAGCACAGCCAACTTCTCGTTGCACCGACATTCACGGCGTTGACACACACGAAACGTATCGCGCGAGTGATATTGAGTTTTCATATCGATCTTGATACACTTTCGCGTATTTTTTCATGAGTGCGAGTATACTTTCTTTATTCTTACTTATTTTACTTTACTTTTCTTATTTAACTAATAAATTTGACTCGGTCAGTGTCGGATGATATCGCGGTAAGGTTGTGATGCCGTTCGGATGCGGCGTTCAAATATTTACGTTACATACCAGACAGGTCGGTACTCTGAATGGCGTCACGACGTTGAAATGATAAGTATAATTAGTATAACGTAATCGTATAATTTCGTGTCTGAATTTCCATAAGTTACGACATGTGGAGCGGAGACATTGTGACGCGTTTATACATCGGTAAATTGTTGTAAAGCTACCTGTCGTTCGAAATTCATTCGCTGTCGAGTTCGCCGAGTGAATCATATTTCTCGTGCGATTTCTGTTTTTTACTTTTTCGCGACGGCAACGTAATGAAATGTACATCGTATATGTGTCTTAATGTCGGGAATGCCGTGCAAAGTATCGTCGCGATTAATTAACCACGTTTTCGCGAGTGTCGAGTGTGCGTGTGTAAATGTGTGCATTGAAGGAAGCTGAGAGGAGGAGGAGGCCTGGGAGGCATCGGGTGACGGCGAAGCAACCTTGGGGTAAATATAATTTATTATTTATCTAGTATTTACTGTTTGTGCAATTTATTCTCGTTTATTTGAATTTCGATCCAAACAGTTTGTGTGAAATGAGTAAATGCTTCTTAAAGAAAAATTAAAGAAATATAAGCACACATACATACACACGTATATACAGTATTCAAGAGTTTATAAATAAGTAAAAAGAAAAAAGAAAAATTTTATAATCAGAGAAATTTTATAATCACTTTAATATTTTTATCCAAAACAAAAAATATAATTATTATATTTTATTAAGGAAGTTGTAAAGGCATAAAACATGTATATTAATATATACGCTTTAAACAAACTACATATGAAAATTGTGTTTATAATATTCTTTTTTTTATTGAGCACATACATTTTTATAGATTTATTTTATTTGATATTAGTTTTATTGTTATAAATAAAAATTTTAAAAATAATAACAAAAATCTAATTTTTAATATAAATATTTTAAGTACTAAAAATGACTTATGCAAAGTTTCATTGAGATTCACTAATTATTTATAACATAAATATTTTATTTATTTACTGTTAATGTCTGCATCTCAATGTAACTTTACATAAATATTTTCGAATTCATAAAATATTTATATTAAAAAATTTTTATCATTATTTTATAATACATTTTCATATGTTTCTATTAGAGTATAAATTTTACTTTTAAAAATATTACTTTTTATTGAAATAATGTTTGATCCAGATGGTCATCTGTCTCTAATTTTTTTGTATTACTTTTAAATACAATTTAGATTATTTATTTTATAATTTTTTCAAGTAATTCTTACATATTGCATTTGCCGTATCTTTAAATGTGACAGACAAAGCATAATTATTTTTCGAAACATTATTTTATCTGCTGCTATAATTTGTATTTTGTATTTGTATTTTGCAGTTACATCACGATCAGAACTTCGCTGCTGCGCATCGTATCGGTGAGTCACATGATTATTTATTTATGGGATTAAATGAGTGAGTTTATGTATAATTCAGGATTCGTTATTGGAATTCGATAATTGAAGGAATAGAAGACGTATAATTACATATACACACATATATACATTTGTTACGTTTATTTAAAGAAATGCGATTTAATTCTTATTTTTTATTTAATAATTTTTTGTGAGAATATAGATCTGCTTAAAATTAGAATTGCTCAATTATACTTACTGCAAAACAAATTAATTTTGAATTGAGAATGTATTATTTATACGTATTTTATAATGATTGAAGATTGTAATTCTACTTATTCTATTTTTTCCATTCTAGTTATTTCATTTATTTTATTCTTTTTATTTTTTCATGTTTAAAGACTTTCCCCGGTTCATTTAATTATTAGATTTATCTTAAACGATATTCCATTATTAAAAAATGCGCGAATCAATCAATAGTGCTCGAGTTTTATGAGATTATAGATCCAGAAAAATACTTTAGTAGTAAAGACATGCGATCATTGAAATCGCGCGAGTAAAAAAAATTATCGAGGCAGCTGTGAACCTATCCCAATAAATTAATTTGTGAAGCAGATTCTCTTTACGATCAAGTGCTTCGTAAAACATAGCTAGCCTGCAGTCAATCGAAGCAAAGTGCTTCGTTACACAAAAATGTTTTTGCGATCATTTCTTATTATTCTTCTGTTTAATAACATATATCATTTGTAATTGCGATTTTATTATTAATACAATTAATTTTTTTCAATAATACTTGTAACTTATTATATGGGGGGAGAAGCATAGAGAGAGAGAGAGAGAGAGAGAGAGAGAGAGAGAGAGAGAGGGAGTTTCTTATATATGTATTACATTGCAGAATTTCTAGTTTCTTATATATTTGGCAAAAAAGATTGTCTAATAGCAATTTTTTTCTATTATAATAAATAATTAAAAAGATAATTTAGCGAGATTTAAAAAAAAAATAAAATTGTTTATTTAGGAAAAAACCAAAATGTAATGTGTAGTAAGAGAAATAATTGAATTATAATAAGTTAATAGTTATAAGTAGGAGAGACTGGGGTACAATTTATGTAACTTTATATAACATGTAACACTTATATAAAAAAATGTTATAAACAATATGCAAATATAAGAAAGAGATAGAAACTTATAATAAATATATTATAAACTTCTATCTGTTCCTTATGCTTTTGTATTTTATTTATAATATTTTTTTATGTTTAAATGTTACAGCTTACCCGTGTTACTTTTGACTCCAGTCTCTCCTATTTATAACTTATTATAATTCAGTTATTTCTCTTACTACACATAATTCGGTTTTTTTCTAATAACAATTTTATTTTTCTTCTAAAAAATCTCGCTAAATTATCTTTTTAATTATTTATTATAATAGAAAAAAATTGCTATTAGACAATATTTTTGCCATATAATAAGAAACTAGAAATTCTGCAATATAATTAAAGACAAGAAACTTTTTCTCTCTCTCTCTCTCTCTCTCTCTCTCTCTCTCTCTCTCTCTCTCTGTACTTTATTTCATAGCATAAAAATTTAATAGGCTTTTGCAAGATTAACATAGATTCGTTTCTCAATTTCGTTTGCTAGAAGATTTCTTCCCAATTATCTAGAAGCAGTGTGACTTTATAGATAAAGAGATCCGGATCTATACCAAAACAACTAATAAATAACAGGTAGTAGCTATTCTAGGATCGAATGAGTTTGCAATGGTTCTATTTTCTATCTTCTTCTCTGTGAATTGTTTGCCTTTTCTCCTACTCTTTCTTTATCATGTTGCTACTCTCTCTCTCTCTCTCTCTCTCTCTCTCTCCCATCTTCTACCTTCGCGGTACTTTCATTGATAAATGGGAAAACAGAAGCTCCAGTTTCTCTCGAAGAAGACTCGCGATGGGCATAGCTCACTCTGTATCGGTCTGTGCCATCTTCGGAGTCTTTCTTCTTCCTCTTCGTGGTTGCCCATTAACGAGGTACGAAAACGTGGAGTTTGAGTTGGAGAACAACGTAACCATTCTGACGATCATTCGAATTGGAAACCGTGAGTTCGTTAGTTTCGGCTACGTTACGAAGTCCCAATTAAAATCGAGTTTAGACAGACCTTGAATAGATATCATTATTTCTTAAAAATAAATACAATATTAAAGTATTAACTTATTGAGGCACTGTTATACATTTAATACTTTCTGAATTCTTTAAAGTGAAATCTCACTCTTAAAGATTGAAAATTTTGCTACTCTTTGTCAAGAAGGGCAAGATTTTCACTCTTCAGAGTGAGATTCCACTCCAAAAAATTTAGAAAATAGTACTATCTTACTTTTTTCAAATGTAAATCTCGTTTAAAAAAATAATTTATATAATTCGTTCCAAAACACTTCGCTATAAATCTAGAATCATAGGGCGCGAAATTAGAGACAAAGAGAATTTATAATTTAGTTTTCAGCTAAATAGATAGATCGGTATGATTTTTTAAGGAAATTATTTGCACGTGTTGAAGAGAAGTGTAATCGTTCGATGGTCAATTGAAGTAAAGTTTCATAAAAGAAAGAAGAATCGAGCGACGGACTTTCAATCGTGAAACTCGTTGAAGCTGGTTTTTCGAGGACGTTTTCGTGCACTCGGCTAACGAGCTGTCGAAGCGAGAATTTAGTTTAATGGCCGCACGAGCCGAGTTCGCTTGCTTATCTACTCACGCGTCGGTCCTTCTTGCAATACGTCCCCGTTACTTTGGCTGCAATTGACACGTTCGAATCTTCACGACGCGACGCGTCCGATGGAGAACACGAGAAGCAGTTTAGCCGCTCGTGCGTTTCTTTTGCTTTTGCCGGAATCGAGGAAAGTGTTTGTGCTGCGATGACTCAGCCGCGTCTCGCGATTCGCAGCGCTGGCGGAAATCCGCGCGGTATCTTTATTGCTTCCAAAGGGTTTTGCCGGAGGGAATAACTCGCGTGCTGAGCAAGACTCAGCTGTGAAATCTATTTGCGCATTTTCCTACCGTTTCCCTTATTCGTATGCGTTTTGTGAAATTTTATAACGATGCTCCACTGGGTAACAACACTTACAATTAATAGATCTTTAATGTTAGGTCTGATTATTCTTACAGCTGTACAGAAAGAACAATTTTGCTGAAGTACCTAAAATTTTAGCTAGCTACAGATCTGAAAATAATTTTGTATCATCAAAATTAATTATGCGAGAATCTCAAATATGATAGTGCTGAAAAAATTTTGATATTCTAGCTACCAGTTTAAACATCCTATAAAATTATTTTCAAATCTGTATCTAACTAAATTTTTGGAAAATTTAGAAAAACTGTTTTTCATGTCCAATCGTGTTTACGTATATTTTTTAGACCGTCCGATTTTCGTGTGAAAAATTGCGATTATATAAAAAGTTCAACATTTTCGCGCGTTCAAGATCGTAGCGTGCTTCGAACGCCAGAAGCGACAGCCACAAAAAATGAGAAGAAAAAAAATTGTCGGACGCATCAGCACGTTACATGATTCGTTGACATGCGCGTGTGGTCAGCTTCATATCGTTCATTCCTATCGGGTGTACGTTCACCTTTGCGCGTCGCGTCGCGTGAAGTATCGCCCCATCGGCAGGCACGAATTTTCTTGGTTCATTGTTGGTCGCTCGACGCTTTAATCCCGCGGGTCGCCGAGCCCTCGGGGGAGCAAATATACCGTTGATAAGAGACTCGAGATAAGATAAACGGGTGGGGCATGTGCGAGCGCGACGAGGTGCCTCACACGCGAGTTTGTACGCACGCATACCGGTAAAATTAAATGTGTGTAAATATATATACAAGATCTAACGTTTTGTTCATGGATAATGGCGAGCTACGAGAAATCGTCCCTTTGCATCAGGCAGGACGAAAACCCTTCCTTTCGCACGTGCTTTCGTTTCTTGTGTTACCACCTAGTAGTAGACATGCTAGTTTTTGTGCTATAAACGTGCGTTGCATTTTTCTGATGTACTCTCTAAATTTCTTGGAGTGAAATCTCACTCCACAAGAGTCAAAGTATTGCTACTATTGAAAAAGAGTGAAATATTTTCACTTTTGAATAAGAGATTTTCACTCTTTTTTTTGGAGTTAGATTTTTTTACACTTTTGGAATGAGGTTTATTCCAAAAAAAAGAAGTGAGATTTTTTTCCTTTGGAATGAATCTTTTTTAACAGTGGTAGTATTTTAATTCTTGTGAAGTGAGATTTTATTCCGAGAAATTTAAAGAGTACTATTTAGCAAATAATTAGTGCGTATTTTTAATTGATTTATCAATTTTATTTTTTAATATTAGAATAAAATACAATTTTTCACTAAGAAAAATGTCTGGTTGTAAATGAACCAAGCAGAATGTATTCTGATTATAGAAATATTGTAGTTGAGATAACTGTAATCTCGATTGATATAATCTAATATATTTAACCGAAAATATTCTAATTCGTCTCTATTTTCAATCAGATTTAATCTACAATCAGACGATTTTTTTCAAACATCTCATTTTAAAATAATGATATCATCCAGTCTTGTGTCATTGTTAAGTACAACTCTTCCAGAATTGCAGTTTTAAAAAATTTCCTCTTAATGATTAATTTTTTTAAAAGATGGAATTCTCGAGAAATTTGCACGAAGTACTTCGATTATTCATTTACGGTTAAATGTAACCGACATAGGACGACGTCTATACAATGTGTCACGAAGAGCCACGTCGTGTTCTGGCGTATGTTGATGACAGTGCAGATTGTGCCTGCTCCGCCCATGTTTTGCATATACTCGCCCGGACTTACGTGTATGCGGTACATATGTACGAGCCCATCCTCCGACGCGCATCGACATCGTTGCGTAAATAATCCAAACTGGCAAACCGAGTCACGATCACGTTTGCGTGATTATATACATGATGGGAGAGAGAGAGAGAAACGGAAAAAATTTCGCTGTTCTCATCTCCACTCATTCTTTGAACCCGCCCGT